TTTTTTTTTTTTTTTTAACAGAATCCCACCAAATAAATTCTACCCACATCTATATAAACATTTCTTCAAGTGTTCTGCTTTTACATTTTGTTTCATTTCTAGTATCTTCTGAATAGGCACAGAATTTGAGGCGATTTTCCTTTGGGGAAATTTTCCTTTCACACCTGGAAGCAGATCACCTTTTTCTTCTCTCTTAAGCCATATGCTTACAGGTAAATCACCCTATCTCAGTCTAAGAAGCACACCTCAAGACAGACAGCACAGGCATTGTAGCAACATCTGTGTAACTAGTGGTTCTCATTCAAATTGAGAATACATGGATTCTCGATCAAAATGAAAACAACCTTCTACTCTTTAAAATAGAACTTAAAGTCAAGTTAAAATACATGTACAATGCACACTTGCACACACACCTCCCCTCTTAAAACAGAATCTCTGATTCTTCAGCAACACCCTGCACAAGGCAAGTTCCACCTCCTCTTTCATGCTATCCTGAGACCCTTCTTCATTCTAAAAGCAAGTTTAATTATCATTTCACTTCTTTTATAAAATACTTCCTCCCTGCTCCAAATACTCAGTACAGGACAGGTCTCATGGAATTCCTGCCTTCTTTCATAGTCACCTATGGTCTGTAACAGTGGTTCTCAACCTTCCTAATTGCTGCCTTGTTACAAATGGAAAAAAGGGATCGTGACCCACAGGGTGAGAACTGCTGGTCTATAACAATGCACCAATCATGTCCTCGTCATTTCTTTTTTTTCTTGAGACAGAGCCTCAAGCTGTCCCCCTGGGTAGAGTGCAGTGGCACCACAGCTCACAGCAACTTCCAACTCCTGGGCTCAAGAGAGTGTCCTGCCTCTGTCTCCCAAGTAGCTGGGACCACAGGCGCCCGCCACAATGCCTGGCTATTTTTTGGTTGCAGCTGTCGTTGTTTTGGTGGCCCAGGCTGGATTCGAACCACCACCTTAGGTGTATGTGGCTGGCACCTTAGCCACTTGAGCCACAGGCGCCGAGCCATCATTTCTTAATTTATACTAAATGTTATCAAAAGCACAGGCACACAAAAGAAATTATTTCTCTTATCTTTTGTGCTTCTCTAAGATATCTCAAAATTTTTAAGATTACTTAAGAACCTAAATATAAAAATTTAAATTTAAATAAGCATTTATTTGGAAAGTACAAAAAGCTAAAAAGCTTAGAGAAGCCTATAGTTCATCTTTAAAGTGTGACAGAAAAGGCAAAGAAACTATTAATAAAATGGAAAAAAATCAACAAGGACAGTGCCTGTGGCTCAGTCAGTGGGCCGCCAGCCCCATATACCAAGGGTGGGGGGTTCCAAACCAGTCCCAGCCAAACTCCAACAAAAAAATAGCCAGGTGTTAGCTCGGTGCCTACGGCTCAAGTGGCTAAGGCGCCAGCCACATA